TATTCTCTATAGCACTAATCACCTGGATATTTTATTCATTTCTTTATTGTCTATTTCTTTCTGCTAGATTATAAGTTTCTTGAGGGCCAGCTTTTTTTCTTTAACTCTTTCATTTACTGCTTTAATGTTCCATGCCTGGAACTGTATCTGTCACATAGTAGGTGATCAATGCATATTCATTGAGCAAATATTGAATCAACAGTAAATGTCTTGAGCTCAGAGGTTGTATCAAATATGTAATTGCTGTCTCTGTCTCATTGCATTGAACATTAGACAATCAATAACTATGTACTGAATTCATGTGAAGCTGTCCACTAACCTCAGTCTTTGGATTCTTCCAACTATATTGACATTGTAAATGGGAGAACAGAGATCAACTGAACTATTGTGGTTCATATTACCTAGGTATAGACTACGAACACTGATTTAGAACTTAAATAAATTTCTAATGAAGATTGGGAATAGAAAAAATATTCAAGTGTGCAATATTTCTTAATTGTTACTTGTTTAGAAACCTACAACAAAATTAACATACCAGGGCCACTTCCTCACATTAAATCAAATATATGTGTGGACTATAAATAAGAGAATGATGAGAAATCAATATCAACAGTACCCTTCATGCTAACACTGTACAATAGCAATAAAACAGTATTTACTTATAGAGCCCAATGTACCCTGTGAGTATGGTCCTAACAATTGCCTCCACAGCCCTGCATAGTCTGAAAAATGAGAGCCTGTCTGATTGGGAGAAAAGAACAGATGGTTATAGGGTGATACTCTTATGAGTGCCACAGTTCCACCTAAAAGATAAAAAAAAAAATGACTATTTTTGCAATGGAATACTATTCAGCCTTAAAAAAGGGAAATCTCATAATTTGTGAGAACATGGATGAACTTGGAGGACATTGTATTAAGTGAAATAAGTCAGGCACAAATACTGTAGGATCTCACTGATAGGTAAAATCTTAAAAAAGTTGAACTTATGGAAGTATAAACCAGAATGGCGGTTACCCATGGCTGTTGTGAGGGGGGTAGGAGAAGGAAAATGGGGGCTAAAGGATACAAAATTTCACTTACATGGAAAGAATAAATTCAAGAGATATATTGTAAAACGTGGCGACTATAGTGAACAACAATGTATTATACATATATTTGAAAAGAGATTGCTTTGTGGCTGGGCGCCTGTGGCTCAAGTGGCTAAGGCACCTTTCACATACACCTAAGGTGGCGGGTTCAAATCAAGCCCAGGCCTGCCAAATGACAATGATGGCTGCAACAACAACAAAAAAAATAGCCAGGCATTGTGGTGGGCACCTATGGTCCCAGCTACTTGGGAGGCAGAGGCAGAAGACTGGCTTGAACGCAGGAGTTGGAGGTTGCTGTGAGCTGTGATGCCACAGCACTCTACCCAGGGGGAAAGTTTGAGGCTCTGTCTCAAAAAAAAAAGTTAAGAGATTGCTTTGTATTGCTAAGAAAGTAGATTTTATTTTGCCACAAAAAATGATAAGTATGTGAGGTAATGCATGTATTAATTAGATTGATATATCCATTTCATGATATAAACATAAAACAAAACTTCATGATGCACGCCATAAATATATACAATTTTTAATTTCCAATTAAATATGTATATAAAAATAAATAGCTCTCAAAAACCTGTTTTCTTTGGATAATTTTCTCAAGAACAGCAGGATGATTTCACGATGAAAAGAGTAATCAGAAAAAGGTTAAATAAAAATATAACACACTACTGATTAAAATGAGAAAATTCTATAACATTGAATAAGAATATGAACATTTAAGGTTTAGTCTGAGTCTTTCTGAATAGATTGGAGAGTAACAGAGAAAAATTAACCAAAAGAATTTAAAGTATTCAAAGATATAGCATATTTTTGTAGTTATATTACCCTTTATTTTGACTAAATTGTAAGAAAAGAGGTTTTGTTAGTGTACTTCGCTCTTCCCAATTTGATTCCATTTCTCTCTATTTCTTTCAGCTAATTCTTTTGTGGAAAATGTGCAATAAAAGTACTGTTGTACATGTTAGCAATTCCTTGATTTATGTGCCTTGGGTGTCTATGGGTATTTAAAGATAAATTACAAAGCTAAAAGGTAGAAATAATTTTAGAATGGTGCTTAACATGATGGATTTGAAACTTTTTCAGATCTATAGAAAATTGCTCTTAGGTAGTAGTCACACTATTATAAGCTAAAATTAATACAAACCCCAAAACTCATGTGAGGAGGGAGTATTGCTCATTGGTCTGAGCCCAGAATTGGGTCTCTTCTCCTGGGCTTTAATCCCAGCACTGTGACAATAAGTAAGTCATTTCCATTTTAACCCCATGGTGCCTCAGTTTCCGAATTTGTTATACAGGAAAACTACTGACCTAACTCATGGAGCCTTGGAGATTTAAAAATGAAATATTACCACTCTTGGAAAATATGAACTGCAATAATGCTAATTATTATTACAAAAATAAATGCATGTTCATCATGTGGTAATTTAGGCAGAATGAGGTTGGGGAAAGGAGACTCTCAGAGCTCTTTTGTGTCAGTTAAATGAGTCCTCTCTGTTTAGTTGGTTCTCTAATAGCAGTCAGCTGAATGGAGGATTTGCAAAGACAGCACAGTTATGATGGAGTTAGGGGAGTGAAAGAAGATTAAACAAAACTTTCAGCTAAGCGACTCATCTGGATTATGGGACAACAGTCCAGCTCACTGCAACGTCTTCGTTATAAGGACCTGTACAAGTGAATCCAGGACTCACAAGCTCGAGACAACCTGCAGAGTCACACCCATCAAACGTGTCAGTCCCACAGTCAATTAGTCACCCCAACACAGCCTCTATAAGCACCTCACCAAATCTAAGATACATAAGAGGCTAAGGAATTTATTATCACAGTTAAAAAAATTAAAAAATTTAATTTCTTCTTGCACAACTTCTTGCTAATTAGAAATATTTTGCCAATCCTTTAATTATACATTCAGCCCTTTCTGCATGACAGTGACCCAGGATAGACAAAGGCAGCATATTGAACGGGCACTTGAGACTTTCATGGGTTCTGCCTCACTTGCCAACCCTGCTTCAGCCAAATAAATATTTATATTATCATCATTACTATGTTGCAGAATAGATGTGCATAGGGTTTCAGAGACACTACGATAGAGATACTATTATTTTCTGGCAGGATCATAGAACAGGTTGATCATAAAACAGGAGAAAATTTAGGTGGACATCAGTTTCAAACATCAAGGAATAAAGATGCCAGACCAATCTGGGTATTTGAGAAGGTGACTTAAAAAAGAGTAACCTAAGAAATTTTTCCAAATTAATGGACCAAAAAAATAAAAAAAGAGAGAGAGAGAGAGAGAGTGAGAGAGACAGAGAAGAGGAAGAAGCAGGCATAGTGGCTCATGCCAGTAATCCAAGCACCTTGGGAGGCTGAAGCAGTACAATAGCTTAAACCAAAGGGTTGAAATATACGGTGAACTATGATGATACCACTGTACTATAGCCCGGGTGAAAGAATGAGTACCTGTACCAAAAAAAAAAAGAAAGAAAGAAAGAAAGAATTGAGGCAGGATTGTATTAAAGAAACATGGGGGAAAGTATGAGAAAATGGCTGTTGGGTATACACAATAGGTTATAATATAGGGAGAAGACAATTCATTTGATTCAAGAGGCCAATTTGAAATTATCTTTAAAAACTGTCTCATGGGAAAGTTGGTTTTTTCTTTAAATCAGTGGCTGAAATTACAATGAGATTAGTTTTTGCCTTAAACATTTCTTGGTCCTTGTCATCCTTCATTGGGCTGACAGAATGACTTTTTTACCTAAAATGTAAATTTATCGTGTTGCTTCCCAGCTAAAACATTTTCAATGGTTCCTCTTTTTCTGCTTGTTGAAGGCCAAACTTCTCAACTGCAATTCCACTCTAAGGAATGGTCCCTGCCTCATCACTCCGTATTTCCTGCTTTAAACTTTGTTTCTATGTTTTTCAGGACAAAGTTCAACATCCCCAGGATGGCATCGGGGCCTACCTCCAGTCACCTAGACCATCACTCTTCATTTGGCTAGAACAATATTCAAACATGAATAGAAAAGTTCGAACAGCATTTTATCTTCCCTGCTGTCTAATAAATTTTGTACAGCCCTAACTGGAACACACATACCCCTCTTTGGATTAGTTTATAATAACAATAATGATAAGAAAGAAATTTTGATGTATATGTTATATGCATTCAACCAATAGTCATAAATACCAAATATATGCCATAGACTGATCTGGACACCGGGAGACAGCAATGAATAAGACAAATTTCTGTTTTTAAATGTACATGCTGGGTGGGCAAGAGTAAATTAAAAACAAGATAATTGTATAATTTGATTGTTAGCAGATTGAAGAAATAATGCATGGTAAAGAAGAAAATAACAGGTCTTAAAGAAAAACAAAGAAAACAAAGAAAGAGAAAATAACAGGTCTTAGAATTAAGTAGACAAGGTTGAAATTCATGATTGACTAGAAGTTTTGGGACCTTAGGCAAATGACTTAAATCACTCCGAATTTCACATTTCCTCCTTTGTAAAACTAGGCTAACTTCCATCTTCATAGCCTTCTGGTAAGAATTAAAGAAAATAATGGCTATAGTTCCTGGCATAAATGCCTAACTGGTAATACTGTTTTAAAGACCTTACAACATCCAGTGACTCCTACTTCAAGGCTAAGCCCCCTCAAATATATTGCATATTGCGCATTCCACTTGGGAGACCAATCAGTCTAAACTGACTAGAAAACATACCTTTTTCTATGTCTAGTGCAGTTGTGTTTGAACCTTAGTAAACATTCCCTAAATCTTTGTCAAAAAAAGAATAATTAAATGTATTTAGTAAGTTATTAATGCAAAATCAATGAAACCATTTCTCCATCCATCTTCTCAAACACTGCTATTAAGTCATATTCATGCTGCTGAAAATTAGGCTGAAGTAACTTTTTTAAAAATATGAACACTTTACAGATTTGACAGTTATCCTTGCACAGGGGCCATGCTAATCTTCTCTGTATCATTTCAATTTTTGTATATGTGCTGTCGATACGAGCACAGGTTGAAGTATTTCTTAAAAAGGAAATTTAGGGTTTTTAGACTTGAATGTTTCTAACACAGACTCTCAAGAATTATTTTGTAGTTACCACTCAATAAACCAGATGCCTCATACAACATGGACATTTAACGCATATCATTTTCTCAACATTATTATTGACCTTTACTTTCCCATTGACCTCAAAATTCACACACTTAATTCTTTCTCTTTATGAAATACAAGTCTACTTCAATGATAAAATGATTTTCCATAGTTTAATAGGTAATTGCTGATAGGGTACAGATGGCAGTGGCCCAGTACAAAGGTCAAAGAGCACATCAAATTATATGAGTAGATATTATTTCACTTGTTCTGTTATCGCCTTTGCATTTCAGCCTTTTCCTTTCTTTCTTTCTTTCTTTTTTTTTTTTTTTTAACAGACAGACTCTCATTGTGTCTCCCTCAGTAGAGTGCCAGAGCAACACAACTCACAACAACCTCCAGCTCTTGGGCTTAAGCAATTCTCTTGCCTCAGCCTTCCGAGTAGCTAGGACTACAGTCAGCTACGCCCAGCTATTTTGTTGTCCTTGTTGTGGTTTGACCAGGGACAGTTTCGAACCTGCTATCCTCCAGTTACCCTGCATAAATGAGCAGGCGCCCTACTCACTGAGCAACAGGCGCCACCCCAGCCTTTTTTCTTTTTGTAATGTACTTTGTGTAGGGATAATACCGTATCATCAAAACTAAAGTGAAAATATAAAACAGTAACAGAGATTTTCGAAGACTGACAAAGTGAGGACCCTAATTGGTAGTCTAACAAGAGCCTATTAGGTTCTCCCTTAAGGTAGGGTTGCTATTTCTCTGAGTACACAGATAAACTAGGCCTTTGGTAATCAGTAATCTCATTTCTTCAAAATGCAGTATGTGCAAGTTAGTGCTTCCAAAAATGTGCAGGTCCAGAATTATCATAATATTTCTAAATATTTAAAATATCATAATTTTAAGTTGTAAACTTCAGAATATTAATCCAAATTCTATTTCAAACTTTTGAGACTTCAATTTTTCAATGAAACATTTTACTTTGAGGTTAACAGTGGACTCACACCCAGCTGCAAGAAATAATACTAAGGAATTCTGTACTCTTTACACAGTTTCTCTCAATATTTTAGAATTTTTAAATTGATAATATACCGTCAACTAAAATATGGCTTAATAAATTTCAGAGAACATTATTAAACTCGACACTTTCTTTTTGTCAATTGTGAATGTTTAGTAACAATATTGTAAGGGAATTTGATGGAAAAATGAAAGCTGAATTATCTGGTGGTCTTCTTTCATCTCTGCACTCACATTGGTCTTCTTATCACCTGACCATAGGTCATACTACCACCAACTTATTGCCCTTGTGTGTACTGCTCCCACCATCTTCACAACCACTTCACACCTCTTCCAAAGACATCCTCCTTGGAGTCTAAGTCAATTCCCTTCACCTAACAGAACTTAGAATTATAGTCCTATTTCAGCCAATTCAAATCTTTTTGGAGAACAGGCAGGGTACAATTCATATATGACTGAAAACATGCGTTGTAGTTTGCTAGGGCTGCCACATAAAAATATCATAGACTAGATGGATTAAACAAACAAACAAAAATTATGTTCACAGTTCTGAAGGCTAAAAAATCAGAGAACAGGGTGCCAGTGTATGGTCAGATTCTCACAAAGTCTTTCCTAGTTTACCAACAGCCATCTTCTCAATGTGCATCCACAGAGACGTTCCTCAATCTGTGTGTATGGAGAGATGGAGTTCTTCTCATCCTAGAAGTCCACCAATCAGACAGGATTGGAACCCCATCCTCTGACTTCACTTATCCTTAGTTATATCCATTTTGAAAAATTTCAGAACATCACATAAGTGTAAATATTTTGGTTACATAAATTGCTTTTATTTCATTTCAGTAAATGTATAAGTGTGCCCATCACCCAGATAGTGTGCATTGTAACTGTTAAGAGTGAATTTACCCCTCCCAACCCCTACTTACTTTCTGATGAGTATAATTTCCATATGTGAAGTGTTGATTAGTTCTAAATGGTGGTGAGTACATGTGGTGTTTGTTTTTCCATTCTTGTGATACTGCACTTAGAAGAATGGTCTCCAGGTCCACCCAGGTTAATACGCGAGGTAGTTCATCTTTTTTATGGCTGAGTAGTACTCCATTCTGTACATATACCACCTTTTACTGGTCCACTTATGTATTGCTGAGCAATAGGGTAGTTTCCACATCTTTGTAACTATGAATTGTGCTGCACAAATATTCCAGTGAAGGTATCTTTTTGATAAATCACTACTGGGATTGCTGGATCAAATGATAGGTCTGCTTTTAGTTCCTTAAGCAATCTCTATACTATTTCCATAGAGGTTGTACTACTTTGCAGTTTCACCAACAGTGTATGAGTATTTGTATCTCTCTCCATCTCTGCATCTATTTATTATTTTGGAACTTTTTTTTTTTTTGAGACAGAGTATCTCTATGTTGCCCTCAGTAGATTACCATGGCATCACAGCACACAGCAACCTCAAACTCTTGCGTTTAGGCAATTCTCTTGCCTCAGATTCCCAGTAGTTGGGACTATAGATGTCCAACACAACGCCCAGCTATTTTTAAATTTTTGTTATTGTTGTCATTGTTGTTTAGAAAGCCCTGGCCGGGTTGGAAACCACCAGCCTCGGTGCATGTGGCTGGTGCCCTAACCATTGAACTATGGGTGCTGAGCCA